CCTGCCCCACTCCCATGACCGGACCCTCCATTTGTACGGCCACTTCCACCACCTTCTCCTCCACCTCCGCCTCCTCCCCCTCCACCGGCCGAACCACCGACCCCGGCACCAGCGCCGGACCCGCTTCCATGGCCGGATCCTCCATTTGCGCCGCCACTTCCACCACCTTCTCCACCACCTCCACCTCCTCCACCACCACCGGTTGAGCTACCAACTCCAGCACCAGCGCCGGACCCACTTCCATGGCCGGACCCTCCATTTGCGTCGCCACTTCCACCACCTTCTCCACCACCTCCGCCCCCTCCTCCTCCGCCGGTCGAGCTACCGACTCCGGCACCAGCGCCGGACCCACTCCCATGGCCGGATCCTCCATTTTCGCCGCCACCTTCACCACTTCCACCTCCGCCTCCACCTCCTCCTGCTCCTCCACCGACCCCGGCACCAGCGCCAGACCCACTTCCATGACCGAACCCTCCATTGGCACCGTCGCCTCCTCCTCCTTCTCCACCGCCACCACCTCCGCCTCCTCCGGCTGACCCTCCAACTCCAGCACCAACACCAGTCCTGTTTTCATGACCAGACCCTTGAATATCGTTACCACTACCACCACCTTCACCTTCACCTCCACCTCCACCTCCACCTCCACCTCCGACGCCAGCTCCGGCTCCGTACCCTTTCCCGTGACCGGACCCTCCATTGTCACCACCTCCCCCACCCCCTTCTCCACCACCACCACCTCCGCCGGCACCACCAGCTCCACCACCGAACCCAGCACCAGCACCGTACCCTTTCCCGTAACCAAACCCTCCATCTGAACCACCACCTTCTCCGCCGCCACCGCCTCCGCCGCCGCCGAATCCACCATCACCACTCATACCAACTCCAGCTCCGTATCCTTCTCCACGACCGAATCCTCTACCATCTTCACCTCCGCCACCTCCTCCTCCACCGCCGCCGCCACCGCCTCCGGCAACAAACCCTTTAGCAGCTCGGCCAAAGAAACTTCCGCAGCTCCGCCAGCTCCGGTACGAGCAATAATCATCGTCTCCATTGTCAATATGATCCACATTTTCTCCGTGTGTCTTCGTAAGTAATGCAAAACAAATGCATGGAAGAAGAAGACTTACGTAAAAGAATCTCAAATGATTAGCCTTAGCCATACTGTTTTTTTAGAGGCTTTTAGATTAGAAATAGAAAGCAACTTGGTTGGGTTCCCCTAGCTCTGCTCCGTATTTATAGAGCCAAGAGCTCGATCACAAATTATTTAAAAATTGAAATATATTGGTTAAAGAGTTGGACCCATTACTGGTCCATAACCAATTTCATAGTTACGTGACATATTAGGCGGGAATATTTTTATATAACATATTTAAAACATTAGTCAATGAAAGTCCTGCTAATGTCAACTATAGTACATAATAAAAGGTAATATTTATGAAATGTGACGAACATGTACTTAAGAATGTTGTAACATCTCTTGTGGATTTGTGTTTTTGTTTCCTTGTACCGTACATAAATTTAGTTTTATTTATTTAAAATGACATATAGCACTTAGGTAACGAGTCACAAAAATGTGGCAAAAAGCCTTATATATTTAGTTTGTGGTTGAAAAAAAAAATTAAGGAAAGCAGCAACACCTAATAACTTTGAATTATTCGCCTATTAATGAGTAATGACCATATATACAAGTCGCAAAATGTCAACTCCGATCGGCGTAATGACACTAATCTAATGTACTATTAAATATTTTATTTTTTTCAATATTGGATTTGACACTGTTTCTCGATTCATAAGCATTGGAATTTTAAGGGGTCGTCAAAAACCTAATACTTCTATTTGTATTTGACTATCGCTAAGTGTGTGTATATATGACAGTAATTGAATATACAACATATATATATATATATATATATATTACCATTTGGCGTTAATTCTCATCACATTGCCCATCTAAACCATATATACGATAATATATATTTTATTCGGTTTTATATGATTCTTGAGCCTTGCATTTAATTACTTACATTCTATACATATATATAAACGCTACATGGAATTATAGTTCGGCTGGTTTTAAAATTGCGAGCAAAGATTATAAATATATATTTCTATTTCTTATATACATTGTGTAACTTTTTAATTATTTCGTGTTCTTTTCCGACATGGCTGACAACTTTCGTCGGAGACATATCTCACATGCAATATCGTAAAAGATTTTGAAACACCCAAAAACAAAGCCATAGAATCGAATTATGAATGATATGCTAATACGGGCGCCGAACTCGTGATTATATGATGGAATGTTAATTGAAAAATAACCAATAAAATGATCACACATGTATATAACCAATGTGCTTTTCCATTTCTTTATTATAACCATATATGTAATCTGAATAGTGAGAACAAAAAACATAAAGATCTTAATAATAAAGTTAAAAGAATACAACGATCAATGTAAAATTAATATATTAATTATGAGATGATAGTGGAGCAGGTGTAGAATTATGCATTTATAGCTAAAGGACGATGGCCATTATGCATGTACACATATCACCTGTTTGATATACAATCAGGGTTCGATTTCAATAACATGTTCCATACATACATATGTATATATTGCTGTGATGTATACATGCATTTGTACTAAATTTCAATAGCATTCAAATCTTTCAATAAAATTTGAATAAAAAGTATATAATATATTCGTTCACTCCACATATATGTGCATGCCGTAATCCGTATAAATCACACATGGTGGTAAAGCATCCCAAGTCTTATTTTTAAATTAATTTTAAAAATTCATTTTGTTTTTATATCTTTTTCCCACTACACGTTATAGGTGTTTTGGTGAGTCTAATTATTAATATTCCAATCGATTACTAAAATCGAAAAACAAAATAAAGGAAACTAAAAATAAAAGGGCAAAACCCCTAAAAAAAACTCGAACTTGCAAAAAAGTATACAAATAAACCATCAACTTGAAAACCTGTCATTTAAACCCTGAACTTGACATATGTAACTGATTAAAACCTTGAACTTGCAAATTGTTACTGTATTAACCCCTTGACCGGTTTGACCGAAAATTTAGGTCACCGGAAATCCACCTAGGACTGAAAATCAGATATCATCTTGTCCACGTAAGCAATTTCTCTCCTGTTTTACCACATCAGCATATTTTAGTTCAATTAAAAATAACCGGTTCCGTGAATTAAAAAAAAACGATTATGTTCCTCGAGGAAGATCGCGAGGAGGAGGAAGCAATTTCTGCGAAGGCAAAGATCCATCTTCCGATCGAAATTCCCGAACCCAGATCCCACATCGAAGAAATTGTGCCCGTGGACGTGAATCGGATGATTCTCCGCGTTCAGAAAGCTCGTCCCTTGAAATACAATCTCCAATCTCGCCCCGAATTCGATTTCGAACAGCTTCGTTCCGAACTCTGTGTTCATGTTCTCCGACAGGGGATTAACCCCAGTTTAATCGAATCTCTTCCTGGGTTTATCGGGGAAATCTAGGTCGAACACCTCCTTTGTCCGATTCTTATAGTAGCTCTCCAGGATCGAGACCAGTGGTCGAACGAACGAGATGTTGTTCATAGATGCGAAGAATCTTTTCTCCGCGTATCCTTCGCAGGTTCGATTCGCCGGACAATCCTGTAGATTCAGACTGATCATGGTGATCACTCGCTTGTCGATCTCCGACGGAACCCGACACGGGTACTCCTCCGTCGCCAGGCTCCTGACGCTGTCGGAAAATCTCATCACGAACTCCGTGTCTAGCATCCCGGGAAGCGACGAAGGCATGCGCACCTCGGCGGCGCTTGAGGGGATAGGCGATGAGGGTTTGCCCGTGTAGCGCAGGAAGCCGAGGGCGGTGGAGTTGTTGAAGGGGAAGACGAAGGTGATGTAGGGAGTGACGACGAAGGGGAAGGAGTCGCCGGAGAAATGGAGGGTGCGGAGGAGGACAGTGGTGGTTTGGCCGAGGGCGATCATGATGGAACCGGTTTGGAAAGTGTAGTGTAAACCGCATCGAAATTTGAACCGGTTATGTTTAATTGAACTAAAATATGCTGATGTGGCAAAACAGGAGAGAAATTGCTTACGTGGACAAGATGATATCTGATTTTCGGTCCTAGGTGGATTTCCGGTGATCTAAATTTTCGGTCAAACCGGTCAAGGGGTTAATACAGCAACAATTTGCAAATTCAAGGTTTTAATCAGTTACATATGTCAAGTTCAGGGTTTAAATGACAGGTTTTCAAGTTGATGGTTTATTTGTATACTTTTTTGCAAGTTCGAGGTTTTTTAGGGGTTTTGCCCAAAATAAAATTTGGGCACCACCTTAGGCATGTGACCACGTACATTTATTCAAATCTCAAACACAATTAGCTGCCTTTTTTTGTAGTATTCAAGGAACGGAGAATGAATTAAAAAAAATATAGGAAAAAGAAATAAAGAAGAAAAAGAGAAAGCACTAATTTTCATGATAAGTTGGTTGATCCGTCGGATGCTATAGCTGTACACAACCATTGAGAATTTCTTGCTATAGAAATTAAATTGAAAAATAGCATATATACATGTTTGATTTAATATATATTTGTATATATATATATATATATATTTGTATGATATTTGTTATATATATATATAGATTCGGGATTTTCTTCTTGTTTCAGTGTTTGGAACTCAATAGAAGCTCATCATGTTCTACGACAACGGGGAAAATAACAACTCCCACTTGTGTGGTTGACCAATTTGAAAAAGAAAAATTTGCATAATCAAATAAAAATTTTCAAACAACTTGCTTGAAACTTATGGATATGACTTGCGATTTCCAATTCCTTTATGGTGAGAGAAAAACAAAATCCGTCAATGCATTTAATTGTATTATATACAAATAGATTATAAATATTATATTTGTTTACGTTCCAAACATATTATATACAACTTTTTTAATAATCGATGGTAGATATTTTTACTCTCGTAAATATAACAAGAATCATATATATTCGAAACGAGTTTTGAGTCATTTTATATATTGTTTTATAGTCTATATTTTGATTATATATATATATATATGCGATGACAATAACAATCCATTATTCGAATGGATAATGCAAATGATAGAGATATGTGATATATATATATATAGTGTAATGGAAGATTTCATAGAGTGGTACTGAATTTTTTGTGGATTCAGCAAATAAAGTTGAAACTCGTTGACAAAAGAAAAGAGAGGCTAGAGTTCTAGACTTTAATCATACAAGTAGAGATGGACTTCAATATTCCACACACACACACACACATATATATATATATACATATTGACGAATTTGCTATGGTGATTAACTATAATTTTGGTATTTTTGTAAGGAAAATATTTATTTTTATACCAATTAAATTTTTTGTATGAAATGTTAAAATGCTTAATCTATAATATTTTTGTTATTAACTTTTCAAATTAACCGTAAGAATATTTTAAAAATTATTTATCTAGCACGTAGTATTTTTTATTATTCTGAAAACGAGTTACTATTACATTATATATTTTTTTGTTAAAAAACTATTACATTTTTTCATAGTTTTTTTAAAATTATTTCATTATTATTGCGTCTTACCGATGGAATTTATTATATATATATATATATATATATATATATATCACTTGGGATTAAAATTATATGAGACATTGCAGTACTTTTTTTTTTCAAAACGCTTCATTTTTAGGACAAAACTATATACACGTGTATAACGGGAATATCATTGAAACATATACGTATAGATCATAGTGCGGAGTCCGGAGTTGAACTTTGACGGGGAAAATCAAAGGGAGGTCAAACGCCTGTTTGACTTCTGGCTCGACTGGCAGGGGGGGCCCCATTATTGAAACATATACGTATAGATCATAGTGCGGAGTCCGGAGTTGAACTTTGACGGGGAAAATCAAAGGGAGGTCAAACGCCTGTTTGACTTCTGGCTCGACTGGCAGTGGGATCCGCATTAGCGATTGGATGGCACGTGAGAGTATGTACACGCGCTTACATGCTTCACACGTGTGTACATGCAGTTGTGCGCACGTGCGTCATCACGTGTTGTCCGCGTGCCAATCCGCGAGGGCAGTTATCAAACGAGGGAAGCCCATCGCAGAAGAAGAAGCCCATTAACTGTGGAAGCCAGGCCACTCTACCATATGCAATGCATAATAATATATTGTTATAATGTCTTTGACCCAATCATATGGTATGAAATTTATTCATTGTTTATATGAAATAGAGAAATAAATCAGTTCATATTCTCTCTCTCTCTCTCTGCAATGTTTATAGGGATATGAGGGTATAGAGCTCATCAGGGCTTGGAAGTAGGAGCGAGAGTGAGGTCAAGGGACAAGTCTTCATGGTGGCTTGAGCTCTCAGCGGCAGGTGGCTCCAGGTTCAGGGACAACGTCAGACCACATTCCTCTTCCTCCCCTTTTGAACTCTCTAAACCTCGAGCCTTTCCTCTGCGTCTTCTCTGCCAGCCAAAAAACATATATCCATATATACATTATTATATAATATAACACATAAGTATAAATTGGAATCTAGTTATGGCTCCATTGTAATGCATTTCCAGTACAAAATTTATTATCTAAGCCATGTATATGATCACCATATATATATATATATATGAATATTAGAATATCAATATCTATAATATATACCTTCACGGTTGAACGCTCGTATAGACTCTGGCAAATGACATGATCATTCTCGATTTGGTTATCATGGAGATTACTGCTCTCTCCGCCACCTGTCTCTTCCGAGCTCCCGAATTGAATTATATTCTCTTCTTCCCTGTTTTACAATTTTTATCAATAATCTAAAATATATAAAAATACATTACATATTATACATAGTGAAAAAAGAGAGTTTTTCAATCCAAACACGTTTTATTCCCACGAGTCCAACGCAGAAAAGAGAGAGAAAAAAAAGGGAAATATGTGTGTAATATATATAAGTAGCTGTTGATATGGAAATTAATATATAGTCTATTAATTTAATAACAAAAATGAGGTTTTTATTCCTTTTGAAGGCAAATGAATCCAAGGCTGATATATATAAAACGACGTCGGATTAATGGACTTCGACGACAAACGACCATCGGCAAAAACGTATGCCAGAACTTGGAGAAACACTTTTGGTTATCGTCAAAGGATATTATATAACAATTTAATTAGTATTATTAATATTTAATTTGGAGCATTTTGGTCACACGAACCTCTGAGGGTCGGACATGATGTAGCCAAATCTTCTAAGCTGCTCAAAATAATGGTATTGTTGGAACTCCCAAATCGCCTGATTCGCCGCCATTCTAGGGTTTCTATTCGCCATTTCCACCTCTGCCACGGAAATATACACACACATACATACAAACATTGTTATATCGGCATTTATATATATATGGAACTATATTCACACGCACGCACGCACGCTGTGTTATATATATATATACCTTGTAGCATCCGTTCCTGCTTCATGCTTCTGAACATCTGACCAAAGGAAGAACAAGGTATAAGAATAAAAAAAAAAAAATACCGGATTAGACCCGTATAAATGTATATACACACTAACACTGTATATGAAATCAGACCTGCAAATGGCTCTTGACATGAGATACTGAGAGGCCCTTCACATCCATCAGTTCCCAAACCATCTTAGGAGTTGCTCCTGTGATTCATATGGAAAACGATAATTATGTCTCTGAATTCCACAAAACATAAAAGGGGCTCGGAGATTGAACGGAATCATGTCCTGCTATACTATATTATTGTCAGAATAACCGAAAAAGACGGTGAAAATGCGACGGTTACACCGTGACAACGCCGATTTTAAAATAAATTTTTTTCCACGATTCTAAAAAATTCATAATTTTCTAAAAAAAATACACTTAAAATAAAATGTTAATCGGAGATTAGAGAGAGATAAAAAAAAAAAGCTCATACGATTTTCGCCTCCTAAGCTTTCGACGGCCTCAACGAAACAACGGTGGAGATCGTCAGTCCATCGCAGCCGCGGCACTTTTGATCTTACATAAGGTCTCACCGACGTTGGAGGCTTCATCGTAGTCGCGACACTCAGCGTATTCTCGGTCGATTCGAAATCGAAGGGAAAAAAACTCACAAAATCTCTAGAGGAAGACTTGGAATTGAGAATTGCCTCTCACAAAATCTACTAGGTATTTTCTCAAGCTCACTTCTCATTCCATATATATGTTTTTTTTTCCTTTATAAGATTTAAGAAAAGCCTATGGAAGAGAATAAATTCTAGTAGAGAATTTATTATGGCTTTTTTGTCCTTTTGTGCAAACCTTTTTTACTATTCTTCTACATTTTTTTCCAAATTTGTATTTATTACATTTATGTTTGTTTACAAAGTGTAAAAAAATGGTTACTTAAAATCACAAATTTGAGTTTTTTTTGTCATGAAAATAATTTTCATTATAAATATATAATTATTAAATACTATTACATATACTTCGAGAAGCTATTTTAATTTATAACATAAATCTAATTGTTTTGCCAAGTTCTTCAATATAACATATTTTTGAAATAAATAATTTAATAAAAATTAATTTAACAAGCATCCATATAAATATTTTCAATGACATTCGAAAAACCATTTATTTATAAAATATTAAATATTATTTATGTTAATTATAACTGATATAAGAGTTGAAAGTAATAAAATAATAAAAATTATTAAAAATATAAGTTTTAAAATATTTAACTAAAAATAAAATAATATTTATCACTTTATATCAAATTTTATTTCTTTCATAGTGTTTCTTTATTAATATTTTGAATATTTTTTATCTTAAATGTGTAAAAAGTTTTTATTTATATTTTTTAGATAAATAATGTTTAATAAATGTAATATTTTTTAAAAAGTGAAAAATATTTAATATAAAAAATTTAAAAATTTAATGAATTATCTATATTATAAAAATACATATTTTAGAGAATTATTTTTAAACAAATTTAAAATATATTTATAAAATTATATAGAAAATTAGAAATATTAATGTGCAAAATCATAAATATATATATATGAACGAAAGTAGACATGTAAATAGGAAGATATTTTAGTGTCTAAAGAAAAAAATATCAATTTTACATATATTAAAAAATGTTTTTTTTTAATAAAAATATCTAAATAATACAACAGTAGTAATTGATATTAAAATATTTAAGAGATATTTCATTAATATGAATATAAAATTTGATAGATTTTTTAACTAAAACTAAGACATTTGTGATTCGATCATTAATACTTATTAGATTTTGAATGATATAATTTTCTTTTAGTGAGTGTATTTATAAAATAATTTCTAAATAATTAACAAAAAATTAGAACTATTTTTCTAAATTGGTAAAATAAAATAAAAAATTATAATTGCATTACATTTTTTTTATAAAAATTAAAAAATTATTTTAAAATTTCATATAAGTATAACCATTCATGACATTTAATGGAGTATTTATTTATTTTTTTATATTAATCAATTTTGTAATCTATTGAGCTATAACCTTTTTATAATTTTAATATGATAACATTTTTATTTAGTTTATAATTATATTCGATTTTGAATTTATTTTAGAATTAAACATTTAAATGAAATAAGAACTTTTATTTATTTTTAACATTAATAGTTTATTTTAAAAAAGAAAGTAGATTAGTTGGACATTTACAGTTTTGGAATGGTTTATTAAAAATGTTTATTAAAAGTATCTTTTAATAAATAACATTCTCTATATTTTTAGATATATTTTAATATAAAACTATCAAAAATAGAAAATGATATTTTATTAGTTTTTATATTTTTATATTCATATACAGATTTATTGGGGGGGGGGATAAAAAATATAAAGAATACTTATAAAAATAAATTATCCCTTTTTAAATATTAAAACATATTTACGAAAAGCACTATATTTTCTTTGAAAAGAAATACTGTTTTATCATATTAATCTATTTAATTAAAAATATATACATTATCAGATCTATTATTTGCACATCTCATCTCTTCCTCCCTCCGATCGATCCTTCCGCTCTTAGCTTCCGGTGAATGCATAAACCCAATAATTCAAGTTTTTAGGGTTCAAATTTACGGTTAATAATATTTAAAAAAAATACATTTATTTATTAACATTGTGCGCACTCTTCTGCCTACACGTGGCACATTTCCATATCACTCAAGAAATGTCACACGGTGTTCGGAGAACATAAAGGCTTTTGACTGGACGGAGTTTCCCAGTTTTTTGAAGATTAAAAAACCCAAAAATCATCGGTCAAACTTTTTTTATTTCATTTTTCTTAAAAATCGGATAAGTTATTTTTTTTTAGAAAAGTGATTTTAGAGATTTGTTAGTAGATTTTTTTTATTTTTATTAAAAAATAATTATATAAATTATTTTAAAGATAAAAAATTATATTTTAAAAATAAAGACAATATTCTTACCATTTTTAGCATAATTCATATTTGAAAAAAGTCATATGATTTTTATTATTAGTATTAATAAATATAATTTTTATTTTAATAATAAAAATTCTTTTGGTATTTTTTAAATATAAAATGTAAAACCAAAACCTAAATATTATTTTTACCGATCAAGTTTTCTAATAATTTTAAAAACTAAAAAAACCAAAAACCAAAAACCAAAAATCAAAAATCAAAAACCAAAAATTAAAGTAAAAAACCCAAAATAAAAATCATCCCGGTTCAAAACCAAAATATCTCACGTTTTGATCATGTTTTTTTCACCCAAAAAAACTTTTTAAAAGAAGAGTCAATCTATTAACAGATTTTAATTTTTAAGAAACTAGCATTTTCCAAAACTAACTGACATTGATATAAAAAATCTCATAAATTGGCATTTTTATTTATATTTTAAATGAAATCCTAAACTCCAATCCTTATAAATATATATCATGGTAAAAGTTAATTTAACTCTTTAACAAAAAATAAAAGTTAATTTAACCTGAAAGATAATACTTTTATTAAAACGATGTGTTATTTTTATTAGTTCTTTCTTTCTGACGAGAAAAAAAAAAGCGAGGATATATCTGAGAATGAAATAGACGACCATGCATCTTATCGAAGGCCCTGTACGTAGAGGCCCATTAATACTGTACCTCTAGATCCAAAACCCCAAACTGGTTTGACCAGTTTGACGAATATATTAAACGAACACAAATTCATGACAAACTATATAAAACGAATATAAATTCATGACAAATACAAATTACACCAAAGTCTTCATCATATGATTTGAATACAAATTCATAATAAATGTAGTATATAATACAAATACAAATACAAATTCATTGCTCATATACGTCTGTGACATCGATTGACGTACTAACCGAACCTACCGAATATGATTTTCTTTTTCGAGTCTCACCAGGTCCAAGAAATCGGTTTTGTTTAGGTCTTCCACTCACCCGTTTTTCTTCCACTATAGGCGGTAAAACCGTCATTTCTGCAACGAACGATGGCAGATTCCAATCACAATAATCGGGAACCGGATACACAGTCTCTTGGTAAGCCATACGCCATGTATCCCGCCTATAGTATTCAGAACATAGATCGTATATCATATCGCCTTTTCCGATCATATGTGTTGCTGCAATTGCATGACTGCAAGGGTACCTATCCACATCAAACATTCTGCAACCGCATGTTCTTTCTCCAAGATTAACCAAGTGTCTTCTACCTTTGTCATCCCTCACCTCAAACTCGCCAGTAACACGATTCAGTTCTTGAACGTCAAACGTACATGCCCTCTCATAACGTTCATGCAACTCTTTGTAAACAATTGGTGTTAACTTTTGAGATTCATCAGCACTACCTGCTTCCAACCTGTGCCTGTTAAACCATTCCACCGTCTTTCCGAGACAAATATCAAGTAGACTAAGGATTGGGTACTTTTTTGCCTTCTTCAATACGGAGTTGATCGATTCGGCCCCATTGGTTGTTAACAAGTTGTACCTTTCACTCCTAAATTTACACCTTGCCCATTTCTCGGGTGCAAGTTCTTCTTTCTGCATGTACTCGGCTACTTTGGGATACCTACACATAATGAGATATATTCACATTAGTTCATAAATAATACTAGTCAAACTGGTCACATTAGTCAATCATATTAATCACAAGAATCATACCTGCTCTTTAGATCATTGTACAACTCTTCAAACTCACTGATCGTGTAGGCTGCTGCACATTTAAAAAACAATTTAGTGACGGTCTCACCATTTGAACCCTTTCTTCTTGTGCCTCTGTTCACGTGCACTTTTAAATTCTGTGCTATGTGCCTCGCACAAAAGCCATGTTGCGCTTGTTTGTATACTCCTCTCACAGCTTTGATTATACTTTTATGTCGATCAGATAGCACAACTACATCAGGACCATCCGGTATTACTCCGCTTAGTTTTGTTACAAACCACAACCACGAAGCATCCTTCTCTCTATCTATCACAAGATGATAACAAAACTTTCAAATATCTCTTCATCGCCTTGGGTGCCACTATAAAAGGATGGAACTATATGCGTAAAGTGGTTGCTATTGATGCAACATTTCTGACGAGCCAATATAAGGGAGCATTGATTGTGGCAACTGCCCAAGATGGTGATCATCACCAATATCCTTTAGCTTGGGGTGTGATAGATAGAGAGAAGGATGCTTCGTGGTTGTGGTTTGTAACAAAACTAAGCGGAGTAATACCGGATGGTCCTGATGTAGTTGTGCTATCTGATCGACA